TTTATATGACTTAAGTAACATAATTCATTACACCCAACACTGTATAAAAGTAATTAAAATGTAAACTTACGCATTGACTCTAGCAGCTATTTTCACCCAAGCTAACTCTCTCTCCTTCGCCGCTGCAGCCGTGTTGCTTTTTTTTTTTAAATACATGTTCAAATTCTGCATATGCTTGCATAAGCACATCCAGTTCTGCTGGTGAGAAATATGCACACCTTTTTTTGTCTGACGCTGTTGCCATGGTGACTCGTAATATCTGTGCTCCATTGATAATGGCTTTTTATAGTTGTGGTGCACGTGCTTAACTCAGAGTCAGTCAATTTAGAGTTGATTGAACTAACTAATTTCAGCTGTTCTGAAATCCAAAACTCAGAGTTTCCAATCTCAGGATAAGTCAACTCAGAGTTCAAGTTTTAACTCAGAGTTGGTTGAACTTCCTTATTGAAACAGGCCCCAGCACTTTGATTCATCTTGGTTCTGAAATGTGCTTTAAAAATAAACTTTCTTTGCATTGGTATAATATTCCTGTATGAATGTCTTTATGAATTTGGTTAATTCGTTCTTATATCCTTTGTATCCATTACCTTTAATTTTTCTTATATATATATATATATATATATATATATATATACACACATATACACACGTATATATATATTTTTTTTCATACATACATCTCTACATCAATTCATACATACGGCGTAAAGAGTGGTGCTCCTATTGGATCTGGTGATTTTTGGATTAAGACTCAAGCTGTACACTGTAAACTATTAACTCTTCAGTACATTTATGTTTTCATTATGTGCTTTAAGCACATTTATAATTTTTTCCCTGTCTGTCATTGCACTTTCTCTAAGTTATGCAAAGAAGACTGTATACGTAGCAAGATTAGGCCTCCAAAGATAGATATTTATATGGAAAAAATTAGTGATTTAAAGCATCAAAGCAGCAACTGCTGCAGTGACGTTTGAAAGATGCAGGAGACATATTGGATTTTTAGGTGCAAAATTTCTATACTCCTCTTAATTCAAAGATTTTTCAGGAACAGGAAGTCCAGAACAAAAATAAGATGCATGCTTGTTCCTGCAATGAGGCATGCTTAAAATAGAATAAATAAAATTAATAATACATTCTGATCATATCCCCTTACTATACCAACTAGTTTTTATGTAGCAAATCAATACAAAAATGAATGTTTTAGAACCTAGATCTTAATTTAAGTTTAACACATAAAAAGGCTCACTTTATTATTATCATTATGTTTTTTATACCTTATTCAGATACAAGACATTTCCAAAGTAAAAGTATATTTAATAATTCCCAGAATAAAACAGCCCAACATCCATGTTAAAACAAGTAATTTTATTCATTTATCTTAAAAAAATTGAAATAAAGTGCCTTTTATGTACAATAAAAACAACAATCACAATCTCAATTATACAAAAAAATACAGTTCACAAATTTGTACAGTTTAAAAAAAAAAAATCATGCAGGCAAGACCACATTTGTCTAGCAACTATTCAGTCAACTAAGCTTATGGTGTTCAGTATGCTGAGCCAATGCTTTGTCTCATCGTTGAGGATTCGGATTTGTGCTTTGCAACCTACTGCTATACTACATCATGCAGCACAAAGGATCCAGTGCTCTTCTAGTGGTATTATTTTATACTTCTGACCTTTTGAGGTGAATCCTGGAAATATGGAGTCAGAAATAACCTGCATTTGAGGAAAATAGACTGCTGTAGATGTTCTATGAATAGATAACTGGCTACATTCAAGTCCAGTACAGTATGTTTGATTACTGAGGAGCTGTGGTTTGCACGTCAATAAATATGCACATTGATGACACAGGATTTATCATATAGGATACGATCACCCAGTTAAGTTGAACAGTTCTGTATTTGTAGCTCCTTGTAATATCGGTTAAAGAAGTGTATAATAAAAACATCAACTGCTAAAGATGCTGCTGATTGGGTTTGCGTACGTTTTGTTTAAATGATCCAAGGCTGCAGGATGGAGCAGTTTTCATTGCTGTTTATAGGCTAACTAAAAAGCGTGGTGGTGATGACGTAAATCTACAACTGACCCGTGTTGTGTAGTGGAGTTAAGTGTGCCCGCTGGGGACTACAATCATGGTATTGACCACATTTCTGTTGGCGAAGTCACTGCTGGGTGATGTACAGCATAGCACACAGCTGAAGGCAGAAAAAACTGGATATCTACTCTAAAGGCATTTCTACGTGAAGTGGTGTTATCAAGCACCTTAATACAGGTTACAGAGACTGTTTTCAATCACCTGTTCACAAAGACTTGCTAAACTTTAGTGACAAAATGCTTGTTTGTATGGTGGCAGCTGGCAGCAGTTTGGGAAAACAAACTTGTCAAAAACATTTTTAAATATAGTGTCTCCTAAGGAACTGTAAACCCAAAAATGTTGTTAAAAAATGAAATAAAGAAAAAAATCTGGGTATAAACAGAATAAAAAAACAATGCTATGCTAGCCATCTATGCTAACCAACCATTTGTAGTGATGTTTGAAATAAATTAAATAACAGACTATATCACCAGAACACAAAGATAAAATAATTACTTAGAAGTCACCAAGTAAAATGGTAAATATACTAAAAAAAAAAAAAAAAAAAAAAAAAAAAAACAACAGCTAATAAATAGATTTTTTTTGGCCTTGACTTGAAATGCTTAGCTAGCAAGCCGAGCTAAGTAGCATCAATGAAAAGCAAATAATATGAATTAATGTCATAGCAACAGTCTGTACTTTTATAACTGTTCATTTTAAACCATTAATATAATAAAAACTGAACTATTGCTGTTAGTAACTCAAAAAAGCAGTTTTTTTGTATTTTATCTAGTAGCTTCACTGGTTAGCACAGTTTTTAATAGGCTGCTAGCTAAAACAAATATTTTTATTTTTAATCATTTAAAATCAAATAACTTTTTTTGTGGAGAACAAAATGGGTTTTGTTTTATTATTTTGTTTTTCTCTAGCAAAAAAATCCTAAAGGATATATAATTCAACATCTACACAGAGTGGGAAGTTTCTAATCAACCGTCTCCAAAAAGAAGACGAGTAAAAAAACAAAAATGATAGGAATCTAAAAAACACGTATCCTGTCATGAGGCGCTTGATAAAAAACAGGTAAGGTGCTGAAAGGATGGTGCGTTGAAATCTGTATTTCCTCAAGTTGGCAGTAAAGCACTATGTCAAAAATAAAATCAAATAAAAATACTCAGTGTTCAATCTCTAGTTTTAAGACTACCTCTACGACACATCTTGCACAACGTCCCTTAACAACACACAATATTTAGCACAGGCACTGTATTTACACAAAAACCAAACACAAATGGAAAGGAGGATATGCCGAGCATTGTTGTGCAGTATGCTGTGCCATTACTTTGTCAACTTGTAGCCGTTCCAGAGCATTTTTGGATCTACTCAGTGTTCAAAATAGTATTTGAATACTGGAATATATATATACTGTATTCTTACTTGATCAATGTAATAAAATCATTATGTATTCTAAGATACTGTCACCACATTGTAAATGATTCACACTAAGACTGGCAACATTATCAGCTTTTGACTTCTTTGGAGATTTGGTTTTTAAGTCTCGAGAGTCTTTATATGACTGAGTGCTAAGACGTACAATGACGTCCCTAAAGAAGTTCTCATCCTTAGCAGTTAAGACTTCTGCTCGCAGTAGTTGCATTCACTTCTGTATGATTTAACTGAAGAGAAATGTGCAAATATTTTAACCCTGATTACCTGTGCTTTCACAATAGCATTACCTTGGCTTTTCAATGAATGTGGTGAATGCCATGTGGATAAGACATGTAACCTGGAAATATTGGGGGTGTATAAAACTTGAATCTACATCACTACAGGGCCTCACAGAAGTAGTCACACCTTCTGAACTTTGTCACATGTTTACATGTTTTTTGGATGTTTTTGTGGAGCCATAAGGAATATACATGTATATATTTTTTTTTCTTACAAATAAAGATATGAATACAAAAACAATGATCCAGTGTATAAATGAAAGATGCCAAGAAGAACATAGTTTTAGAAATATGAAGAAATTAAAATGCAATTTAAAATTGTCCTATATGACACATGGGAGAAATGATAAACATATGGATGATGTTTTTTTGGTTAACATGCAGAATGCAATGTGTAACATCACCTCCACAATGACAGACAAGGTGGGGGGAGCATCATGCTGTGGGGCTCCTGTTTTTAGCAGGATTTAGGAAAGTTGGACAGAGTTGATGAGAATATGGCCAGAGGTAAATACAAATTAATACTGGAGCATTTAAAAGACTTGATTTTGACTTAAAAAAAAAAAACCTTCCACAAGGAAAAGAAACAAAAACAAAAAAGGATAAAATGATTAATAAAAAGTTTGGACCCAAAATTAAACTGAGAACCTGTAGCAAACTTTGTCTAATAATGCTTTAGCCATGTTATGCCACTTTATATTGATTAGTCACAAATTCCCCACAAAAGATATATAGCGTGTTTGGCTGCAACATGAAAACATGTGGAAAAGTTCAAGAGGCATGAAAGCACTACATTCTGTAAAAGACAGAACACCAGCTTCAATCTGTCGCCTTCAGCAACATCAATCTGAAGCTGTATGACTGGAGCTAAAGCTAACCAAGAAGGCTGTAAAGTTAGTTAAGCCTAGCCGTATTTGCATCTGTAATGTCAGCAAGAAGGCAGAAGGAAAACTGATTGACAACCACATGGCATCTACACACGCCATGTCAACCTTTGGCCCCACATGAAGATCACTTATTCTGCTCAAACACATTTTGCACAGTTTGCTATGAGCTAACAGTCTTGGAGAAATCCTCCAAAATTTGATCTTCACATTTATTTATTATTAGTGCCGCAATACTTTGACATTGATCAATGCTAACAGAAACCATGAGATGGTCATGACAGGATGGCACTATTGCATTTAGACAAGTTTTTTTCAGTTTTTTTGGCACAGTACATGATGGTTTCAAAGTTGCCCTGAATGTGTGGAGAGATAGAGATGTTCCCCCTCTTGTTTTACCACCAGCCTCTCTGATCTGCAGTGTGAATGAAGTCTCTTTCACATCTGCTTGAAAAGAAACGAGCATCTAGGTCCATTTATCAACCCGTAGGGGCACCTTCAGCTTAGTACGGTTAAGACCGATCGTCTCAAATAAGAAGGTTTTCGGCGGTGACATTTTCTGCAAAGCGGACAATCTTGACGACAGCGTACATTCAGGAGGTAAATGACAGTGTTTCGGAGTCAGGGCAAGACCTTTCCAGCACACGTTTTCTCAGGATCAAGGGAACAATGCGATGGGCTTGATGAAAATGAATGACTTTAAGAATATTCGTGTTACCCTGAACTCTGGGTAGCTGTAGCTTGGTTCTGTGTATTGTGCACAAAAAATGTGCAGGATACTCATTCATGGCAGGACGACTATCAATGATCTGACATCCAGGCTCGGCAGTTAATTCATTGCATACCAACATACTGATATAGGTAAATGTTTTTTTTTTTTTTTTTTTAACATTGCGCTGTATTTATTTCTTGGCTCCTTAGCATACACACACTCGCATAATGTCTTGGTGTCCATCCGAACGGCTCAAATAAGACAGAAACGATGATAGCTCATCTTAGCAGCTGCCATGGTTCGGTATCCTGGTCAAAACAGGAGAGTTTATGCTGCACCCTCTGCTCCAACGCTGGAGCAAACCAGACCAACCTCTGGCTTCGGAGTGGAAATGGTAAAACGAAATGACCTCTGCACTGATCACAGAACCAAGATGACTAAAAATAAGATGTGCTGTGATGTAGGTGGAAGTCGGGGTTTCCTCTCCCTCCCTTTGGGAACCACATCGTTCATGGAAATGCTGTTTCGGAGACGCTGCGCTCCTCATACGATGGAGTCCTTGATCTCCGAGCCCAGCCTCACTCGGGGCCGCGGGCAGGTCGGCGAGTACTCCACATGGCTCTCCTTTACGTTGAGCGGCCGCCTGTCGGAGGCCTCGGAGAAGCTCTTGCTGTTTTCCGGCGAGGACTCGTGAGTGGGCGTGCTGCAGATGTAGTTGTCGTTTAACGTCTGGTAGCCCTTGTGATCTGAGGTGGAAACAGGGATGGTGTTCCCATTTAGGGGTAAGCTCTCCGTGGGCTTTCCAACTATCCTGGGTTTCTTCTGCTGCATGTTGGGGCACTCTCCTTGCTTCAACATGGATTTCATATGATCACGGTTCCTGTAGACGACGAACAAGGAGAACACGACGAGGGAGAACGCCAAAAGAGCACACACCACGATCAGCTCGTTCCAGTACGTCTTTGTGGGATCAGAGCGAGACTCGCCGGGCAGAATCATCGTTTCCTCCTGCGCAACGTGAGGCGTACGCGAGTGACCAATCAGAGTGCTGCTTTCCTGGCGGGGCTCTGCTGTCACACAGTAGTTAGCCAACAGCTGGCGGAAGCCCTCCTCCTCAGACCAGCACTCGTAGGTTTCCATCCTGTCAGACTGAGCCACCACCACCAGGTTCCCCTCTGGGGTGGCGTAGAGGAACTGGCTGGCGTCGTCGCTGTAGCGCCACTTCCTCTGAGCCAAGTTGGAGCGCAGCTTACAGGGCAGGACCCGAAATGTGTTAGCCGGGACTGTAATGAGCTTACAACGAGATGCACCTGAAAAAAACAACAAGATGAAGTTGATTTACAAAGATTTCAGTGAATCACTTCAAAAAGTCAAACTCATTAAAACGAAATGTCTAAAATATTATTAGTGTTTTACTTCCACTGCTTTTGGATCAATTTAAAACAAACTACTGTTCTAATAGAGATATTTTATGTTATTGCCTCCAACATAACGAAAACTCAAAAGCCCATTTCTTCATAAGCAGGCTGTTTATAGAGGGCTGTATGTAAGCATATTATTAGAAAGTTGAGTGGATAGAAAAGGTACAGTAAAAAAATATATCTCATAACAGTATTGATTTCTTATAATAAGAGCAATTGTCCTCAAATTGAACAGGTAAATCAGATAACCTGCCAATGAATTATTTTAAAAGGGGAGCGGCGGCCTAGTGGTTAGGGCATAGAGCTTGGAATCCAGAGGTTCCGGAGCCCCACTAACACAGACTAAGCAAGACCCTTAACCCCACACTGCTCCCATGGTGCCCCATGATGGCAGCCCACTGCTCGCCAAGGGGATGGGTTAAATCAGAGCTAAATTTCTCCAATGTGAGATCAATTAAGTTACAGTAAATGATTATTATTTTAAAATAAGGTAATACAGTATTATGCATTTGAAATAAGGTAACAGTTGTTTTATTTCTTATTTGAAACATAAATTAGCAAATGTTCTTAATTACCAGTTTAAATCAAGAGAAATTTAATTATTTTAGGAAATATTTGTTTAAGCTTATTCCTTTTTTGCAGTGTAAACTAGCAATACGAGTAAATGGGAGTAACTGCAGCCTTGCACATTTAACCCACTTAATAGATGGCTGGACGTCGTTTTGCATTAACTGATGCATCAATGCAGTGGCACATGGAGGCGGTCAGCCTGTGGCTCTGCTCAGATGTTAAAGCAGAGGGATAAAAAATAAATAAATAAATGAAGCTTTAAGATTATATTTTCATTTTCTGATGCAGTTGTGCTTGAAAGTTTACACACCCTCCCATTTAAGAAAAGGATAAATTCACACTAGTAATTCCAATAATAAAACACTGGGGGAAAAAAACATCCATCCATCCATCCATCCATCCATCCATCCATCCATCCATCCATCCATCCATCCATCCATCCATCCATCCATCCATCCATCCATCCATCCATCCATCCATCCATCCATCCATCCATCCACCCTCTCCCACATCTTCTCCCTCGGTCCTTTTCACGGTCGCGGTGGGGCCTATCTCCAGCTGTCTACAGGTGAGAGGCGGGGTACACCCTGGACAGGTTGCCAGTCCATCGCAGGGCAACACAGAGGCAAACAGGACAAACAAACAGTTCAGTTTATTTCATTTGCAGCTGATTTTTTCCTGTCTTTAATGGAGCTGTTTGTAACCTTTCAAGCACGACTGTACACCTGACAGCATTTGACACGCTCAAGGTGGCCATTGTTCCTGAAGAGACAAATAATTTCCCTTTTGGTCTAAAAATGGAAACAATTACATGGTGTTTGTGGGCAAATGGTGTACAAAAAAGAGGACACAGCAATATCATCTAAATGCTAAATTATTCAGCTGATATATTTGTTAACAAGGGCAGCGTTTGTTGACTCGTGCCAGGCTTGTAGCCGTCTTTGTTTTCAGAACTGACATGTTATTTCAACTCTTAAGTACATGCTGTTTGCCGTGTTTTCAAAGTAACTGGCAGCACTTCAATTAGAGAGCATTTTGCAGGGGCAGGACACACTCACGAGTAGCGGCTGGTCTGCTAGATCTGAGGAAGGGAGCGGTGGAGTTGCAAATGGCTGATGTGTCAGCCTCCTCCACGTCCTGCTGCCAGTGGCTGAGAGAGAACAGACGACAAAAACAACAAGGTGAGCGCTGGCAGCTGGAGGAAGAACGCAAGCTTTTCTCTCAAACTCTCTGGTTTAGAAAGAAATGTTTACAGATTCCTCTTCATGACTGAAAACACAGCGTTCCTGCAAAAGCAGATTTTTTCCTTAAGCATATGACTGAACTTTACATGCTTAAGTCACAAGGGTGTCTGACTCATAGGATCACTGCAACAACAAGATCATATGTTTCTGTGAACCTGAAATAAAAAAGAAATATCTACTTCCCAGATAAAAATAGATTCATTTTATCTGATTTCAATCTTAATAAATATAGATTCAGTCTGTATAACAGTGGCGGCTGGTCAATTGGAGGCATTAGGGTGCCGCACCACCCACCCAATGACCCGGATTGAGACATTAAAAAAAATATATATGTGTCACACAATAACTGATTAAAGAACAAATGTTCAAAATATACATATAATCGTCAAAAAAAAAAAAAAAAAACAGTTTGAGTTTTGGGAGAATTTTAGACAAACTTCTGAGGAAAAAAAGCCTTTAGTTAGACACAACAGAAATTAAAATTTCACTATGATTTTACAACAAAGCCTTGAAAATTACAAAAATAAATAAAAATTAGCGTAAAATTAATAAAAAAATACAAAATAACTTATGATTTATAAATCACATTACAACACATTTTCCTTTATAGATCATAATACACATTATCGAAGAGCAATCCCTAAAAATACTGAATAATAATAATAATCATAAAATAATATATAAATATATAATATTTGTAAAATATAATCTGAAAATATAATAATATAACACTTTGTGTTTATCATATTAATATTTAATTGCAAAATATATAACTTTGCATATATCTCATCCAGTTTGAGTTCAGTTTATAGTTCAATAGTTTTTAAAATTACTAAATATGTGTAATGTAACTGAAAGGTCATTCTAAAATTAGTTTTGGTCTTTTAAGGGGTTGTGGCATGTAAGAGATTATAGTGATATTATCTCTGACTCGTCTTTCATGTGATTAAAATGAGATCTAAGGCGCCTCCTATTCATTCTGACAGCTGCTGTCTGAACTGTGGTCTGATCCAAGATGGCCGCCCTCTAGGCATGCTGACAGCGTCCAATGAGGCGTCTACGTATATAACGTCTATGGTCAAAGGATTCTTAAGTGCGCCATCGGTGTGGGGTGTCTCACCTGTCGGGTGGGGCCATCCTGACATCCCGGCACAGCCATCCTGACCAGGCACAGTAGGGATCTCTGGACAACACGCACTCACCGCAGCTCAGGTAGTTGGAGCAGTTAGCAACGGGAACCTCCACCAGGCCCGAGTACGACGACACGAACAACAGACCCTACACAGGAGGAGGGAGAGAAAAGAAAAAGCCATTTCAACTCTGTGCGTGACTAAAGATCAACGCAGACCACAGGAAGCAATCTGCTTTAGGTTATGGGTTTTTGATTTCAAAAAAGGAACATCAGACTGAAACAATTACTTCAGATAAACAGAAGAAGCTAACCTAGCTAATGAACCAAGCCTGGCCAGCTGGTTTCAGTCTTCACGGCACTGCAATCAGTGCATGTTCACAATGTCAGGAGTTTCTTAGACAGTTCTTTGTTCACAGCAGTGAACGTTTTAGTGTCGGCAGAGGAAAAAGTACAACAATACAACACAGCAAGCAAGCCGATCCTCCTTCCTGGAGCTAAGCATTTACTCATAATAAATATCCCTGCTTTTACTAGAATTACAGAATTGCAAATAAAATTGTAGTTTGGTAGCTTTGCCCAAGAGAGACGTCTTTATGCAATAAGTAGGATCGAGGTAATGAAATTTAGCTCCTAGTAAAGCACCAGAGAGTATAATAAACTGTCTTCCAGGCAGAGCTACAGCTAATTCAAAGGAAAGGCTGGAGTGGAGGGAGAATATCTGGAGTCATTTTACCATCTTATCAGTTTACAGATGCTACAAGTAAGAGTAAAGACTTCATTTAAACTCATATGAAAAGAACCAGAGCAGCATCAGTAGATTATCCTCACTGTATTTGACTGTCTTTGTTCCTGTGTGTTAACGTCGTGACGTACCCGCTGAGAGTCCAGCTCCATGTGCTGCACGGGCTGCGGCTCTGCAAACAGAACCATCTCCTCTATGATGTGCATCTTATCGTTAACATTGATGGCCTTGTGCAGCTTCCCATCATCTGAGAGAGAGAAAGAGAACAACGTTGATCTTTGGCTGACATGGTTCAAAACAACTCACTCTGCTTTTATTCCTCCCCTCTTTCGGTTGGTTGATTTTTTTTGTTGCAAAAAAGGAAAAAGCGGCACCTGTTCCGATAAAAAGAACGTCGTAAGCTCTCTCTATCCCTTGGATCTTGTGCACGGCGATCTGGGTGTAGCGGACACTGCGTTTCAGCAGGAGGGGGGAACTGCGGATCACACTGTCCATCAGGAAGTGGTCCTTCACGAAGTTGAGGACCTTATCAGGCATGTGCAAGGACGACTGGATGCCCATTTGCCTGGCGTGGTTGGTGACACACTTCAAAGGAACAAACAAGAGATGAAAATATAAGTCTGATTAATCAAGTATTTAGGGTATGAAGGGTTTCCTTTGAATCCTTTTTGAGCATTTATCGTTAAACTCTTAGCATCCTGTTTATTTCTCTAATGTCTGTCTGGTACCATCCGAGTTGATGATCATCTCCCCCTAATGGTCAGGGGCACTTTTATTATGTCAAGCTAATTTACAGATTTTCTTAAAGGTATAGTGGAGGACTTTCATGAATTTTTGAAAAGAAAAAAAAGCACATGCACAACCCGGTACCCACTCCCGAGAGGGAATGCCTATTAAAAGAGTGTGAGAGCGTGCACAAGCGCATTTCTCCTCGTGCACGCTCTGTTTATAAGTTGTTGTTTGCATCGCTCATACAAGCTTACTTTCCATAAGAAGATTTGCAATTTTTCCACTATGTCAGACTCACCATCGTTTTATGAAAATGGGGACGAGCATGTAGGACGACTTTACGTAAACATATCACCAGAATGATTGACAGTTAGGAGGACCACTTATTTAGATGATCCACCCAGAAAAAAAAACATCCTCCACTATACTGTACGTTTAAGTGGAGTTGTTTTTGCTAATTGCAGCAGTTTTCCTCTGCGTGTTTATTCGTTGGCATCCTTTATGCGTTTTCAGGGCGTTTCAACCTCGCTGCTTTCATTACTGTGATTGCAGCATTTCACTGTTTTTCTTTGCATGTGCTTTTTTTTATGTTTGTGTGGTAGTCTAATTTCACATTTTGATAGTCCTGTTTTTGTGTTTTCAGGATTTTTTTTAATAAACTCAGAACAAAAGACATTATCTATGGTTACAAAGTGACTGATAAAAAAGAAAAAAAGGTTAAGGGGTATGAATACTTTCAGCAGCCACATTAATCTGACCAGAAAGAAACTTTTAAAAACAGAGAAATACATTCCTATCTGGATTTGCATTTTAAAGTCATACATTAGTAAAAAAAAAAAGCCAGCTTATTCAACCATGTTGTGCTCTTATATACAATTTCCTGCAGAAATTGGTCTAAATAGTTCATTTTATTAAATACTTTAATAGCCTGTAACATATTTAATAAACCAACTAAAATAACTCACCGCCCCAGGCCGTGGCTCCGGTACTGGGTGGTTGTAAGTGTACCACAGCTGGTTCTCCCTGTTGACTTCTCTATAGCGGCCACTGAAGGCCGCTTCCACCTGAGCCATGCTGAAGGCACACACTGCCGAGCTGCCCGACGCTCCTTTATACCTGCCAGCAAAGATGCTCTTTTTAGCCGGTGGGAGAGCTGATTTAAACAGACGACAGCGGGCAGAACCAGCATCATCGGCCTCACCACTGTGAAGTGAAGACGCCGTAGAAGACAGTGCTCTCCCAGCTGTCTCCTGTTGGCTTCAGAACAAACATATCCTGGATGATGTTGAAGGGGAAGCCGTCGTCGGGGAGGGAGCACAGGAGCTGGGCCTTAAGGAAGGTGGTCCACTTCTTCTGCAGCACCCGCTCTCCTCCTTTGTCCCCCTGAAAGGAAATCCACATTGTTGCAGGATATCACAGGAGATTTTCTGTTGCATTATTAATTGGGTGAGCACCTAATCTCTGCTCATTCCAACAGGGTCTGCAGGGCTATGTGTGGCCCCGTGATAAGAGGGGATGGAGGTCAAGAGGCTGTTTCATATGAGCAGCAGCAGCAGGGGCTTAAAGTTTAACCCACATCTGATACCAAGAGGAGACGTTGTAGCTGAGGTGGTTAGAGGAGCAGGCCTTAGCCTCTGAACTCAGTCTGTGTGTAAAAGGTTTAAAACCAGTAGAGCTGTAATTACTAAATTTCACATCAGACCTTGATGGGGTATATGCAGAGCTCCAGGGGAGGATTTACTATTAAGCAATACTACTGTAGACAGTTGCCTAGGGCCCCAAGTTCTCCTGGGGGCCCCATAAACTCTGTTTACATATATAGTTAATACAGCTATTCCTTATTCTGTATTTTTGATAAAAATACTTTCACTAAAAAGCCATCATTCGTCTCAGCCCCCCCCCTTCAGTGTCCACCATAATGAATCAGTCCATTTGCTGCAAATGTTCAGAAAGGTCCAAACAGACAGCAGCAAACCATTTGAAAACAAACGATACAAAAAGCAGTGTTATTAACTTAGCACTTTTGTGGCAATATTTAGGGGCTTTTCAGACCCCTCTAGTGCTTTTATTTCAAAAAAGTGCCTGGCAACAAATCTAGCTACTTTTTTCTGCTACTGGAGACTTTGATGGCAACATATAAAAGCATTGAACTCTGCTCTCCAGACCAAGTAGATTGGTAACCCCGCCTCCTGCACTCCTCTATCTTGTCTGCTGTCATGATTCATGCAGCTATTATTTCATCCAAATGAAAAATAGAGAACAGACAAGCAGATAATGGCTTGTCTACAGTGAAAAGAAGGACTAGGTGATTTACTTTTGCCTTTTTGGAAACACAGGAAGGAGCAATCAGCTTAGTGCTTTGAAAAAATCTTTCATTGCTTTCGATACAGCATGAAAAGTCAGCCGAGTACAGAACATAGAGAGGAAAACAACAAGAAAAGGGACAAGAAGAGAGGGACAAAACCTAGAACAGATAATTTATGTCCATTCTATTAAAATTTCTGTGTTTGTATAATGGGTCTGTTTTATGTGTTGTCTTCTCAATTCAGAGGGCCCCCTGCCTGTCTTTGCCTAGGGCACCAAATTTCCTAAATCCGCACCTGCAGAGGTCAACTATAATTAAACAATGGATTCGAAAGTTTTTGTATGAAAAAGTGTGAGCTATTTTTTTTTGAGGATTACTTCCATTATTTAAAGGTATAAGTAAAAGAGATGATTTCATGTTTAATAAATCATCAAACCATCTATAGGTGAAACTAAACAAATGAATAATAAAGGGACTCTTGATTTCCAGACAAAAGATGTATAGGAAACAAACTGCCTTAGAGTCTGGAATAAAAGATGTCCTCAAAACAACACCTTTAAAGCTGCCTTCCTGCATTTAGTTAAACCTCAGAGAACGGGTTTAACTACCCGCAGGAGATATACAGACGTGTCCATTCCCTGCAAGAGGGTTTTTAACCATGGTATTTTAACATTAGGAAAATGTACAATCATGCACATCTGGTCAGAGCAGACTGAATATTTCTTTTTGCATCTTTGGTGTACATCGTGCTTTTATTCTGCAGGGTAGGATGCCTGTAGGTGTACAAACGACAGCCTTAGACGGCGTCTCTCCTAACTTCCTGTGCGCCACGGGGAAAGTCCTCACTCATCTCACGGTGCACAAACTCACAATGGAGCTGGAGATTTCCCTAATTTGCTTCCTGTGTGACCCAATGGTTCCAGAGTTCAGTATTTAACCTCAGAAACTCCTCAGAAACCATCAGCTGTGGTCTTGTGGTTGCATTCCTTATATATTTACTGATATCATAGACAAATAAATAAAATGGGTTTGTATAAAGTAAAAAAAAAAAAAAAGAAAAGTTGTAAAATTTTATGAGTTTCATCCATTTTCTGCACCCCTATAGAAAGCTCCTAATCCCATCAGAACATAAAGACTTCTTTAAAATCTGGATTAACTCCTTAAATCATCATGCAATGCATCCTTTTTGTCTGTAGAGGGCGCCATTAAGGTCAGATGATGGAAGATATTGGTTTCTGTGGGCTCTGAAATGGAATAAAAAAGATGGAGCCTAATTAAAACTAGGATTAGAGGTTTATGGGATTTAATATGTGGAAAACCAAACTTACAAAGGACATTTTAAACAAAAGGAAAATGCCAGAGAGTCATGCTGCAAAATATTGCTTGCTTGTTTCTGGAGATGATATGTGGAAATGGAAAGAAATTCTGTTAATATTTACTTCTTAGGAACTGACTGGACCTTCTGTCCAAACAGCTCTTCCTACGAGTGAATGACTCACTCCCTTTTCGTCTGACACAAAATACTCCCATAAGCACTTCTCTTCACATTCCGCTTGTGAACACAAGCCGGCGGACCCACCTACAAAGTACAGCCAGCGAGTGGAGCAGGAGGAGCAGGAAGGGGAGAGAGCGGGAGCAAAACGATATCCAGGCAGTCCTGAGAAGCATCTCCTTGAAAATGCAGAAACAATTCCTGCACGACAAGGAGCGAGTGGGGCTTAGAAAAAGTGCAAAACTACAACAACTTCCTCCTCTGCGTGCGTCACACAAAGCATCCAGGGAGCTGAACCTCCACAGTGAGGAGCAGCCCTCGTTCCTGCTCTCTCTCAGCTGTCCACTGCTGCTGTGGCAGTGTTCTGCTGAGCATCACATCATTTCAGCCACACCCTTCTGGCAGCCAAAAACAAAACAAAACAAAAAAAAAGCCCAGCATTACACAACACTCGTAGGTTTTTACAACTCACAGTCATACAGGCCTTCCGGAGTGAAATGAAGGTAACTTAGGAAAGCTGCTCACACACAAACCTACTCTCCAAAGTCCCTGACTGAACACACCTGAATAAACACAAGGAATAGGGAGTGGGAGAGAGGAGGGGAACAGATGGGAAAACAACTCTGACTCTGGGCTGTAAAGCTTTCCTTCCCAAACAGTAGTCGGAAAACTACGGGAACAAAAAGGAGACTTTCCCTTTTTTTTATTATTTCCAATACGTGACAAGAAGCCTGTCTTCTTTCTGAGCTCATACCCAGATGACACTGGACACACAAAATGATTGAGACATTCAATAAAAACACGCAGCAACTCATCTGAACTCGGTCCAATGAACAGAGAGAAACGGAGGATTATGTTTTCTGTCTTTCTCGTAAGTGTTACTCCGTAGAAATCCCTTCAGGAATGAAATTCCAAAACGCTGCATCTGCATGGGTAGTTGGAGATCTTAGTGGAGAATCCATCACCAACCTTTTTCAATCAGCTGTAACAGATGATGGATGCTGTTCAGGCTGCAGTATGCATTCAAATGTTCAGTAAATACATCAAGCAGAAAGAAGCTTTTTTCCATGCAGTCCTTATTAAATAAATATATTACTGTCAGTTTTTCCTCTTTCTTTTGGCACAGTTAAAATAAAATCAAACAACCTAAAAAAAACCAAATCTTCTACATGCCTTTATTGGCATCACATAAGATGAATTTCCAAAAAAGTAAAAAAAAAACAATCTTTGTTTCCAAGTTTGAAGACGTTTTGCTTCCCATCAAGGAAGCTTCCTATTCAAAATGACCACGCTTTGTTGGGCTACTCTATAAAACCTCGAACTCAACGCTATTCCTGACATTTTGAATTGAAAAGCTTCCTGGAAAAGCTGAGAATCTTCACCAGCATGTAAGATGAAACATTCTCGGAAAGATTTTATTTAGCCTATTAACAAATGAAAGTTATTTGCATTTATTAAACTTTCATTCTTCAGTGCATTTCCATGCACTCTGTGTGGCTGCAGCAAAGCATTTGGAATACATGGATTTTAGAAACATCTAGCAACACTAACACAAATAGAAGCCAGTTTTCTTTGCGAAGACATTTACATCAATCCAAGCTGGTGTAGTTAATGGGTTCCATAAGCGGGTTTTTTTTCTGTTTTCTGCAAAACTGCTGCATCAGCTGAAGTAATGGTATTTTAACCTGCATGCTTTGTCAAAGCGCTGGTAAATGCTTAATATTTAAGGTGGTCCACAGAATACCTCCTTCTTAATGTCCCGTCAGCTCAGGCTTACAGCATGATGGGACTGGTTGATCTGTGGTGTCAGTAGAAGAGCTCCCCTGCTGACAATATTAAGTGTGTTTTTGATCTTAGAGTCTCCACAACTTGAGGCAGAAGCTTTGCTCCCGACGCACAGCTTCAGCCTGGCAGAGTCGGGACCAAAGGGCAAAATGGAAGGGAGGGGGAATCATGGGAGTAGCCCCCCCCCCCCAACGACAGCTGCAATAGCATGAAGGAAGAACACCTGAGAGTCATGGGCCAGAAGCAGGCAAACCAAGGGTCCAACCCATGTCAGTCCTCTACCCCTGCCTGATGCGAATCAAAGCGTGCCAATTGCAACTGACAGCTGAACCCCGGTCAGGCAGTTTTACAATCGGACGGTACAATCCACAAAGCTATGACAGATCTGTAACGTTAACGACTGTTGTCATGTTTGCAGTTTGCTTCAGCGCCGTCTTCCACAGCAGACGTCATCATAAATAAAGCAACTAAATGGCTGAAACACTGGCGGTTAAAGGTATAGTGGAGGATTTTCGAGAATTTTTTAAAAAGACTCGTCACTTCAAAAAAAAAGTATGTGCACAACCCTGTACCCGCTCTGGAGAGGGAACGCCTATTAAACTCATGCGAGAGCGTGCATGAGGAGAAATGGGCTCGGTTTTAAAGTTGCTGTTTGCATCGCTCATTCAAACTTACTTTCCAAAAGGAGATTTGCAATTTTTCCACTATGACAGACTCACCACAGGTAAGTGAAAATGGGGTCGAGAGTGTAGGACGGCCTTATGTAAACATATCACCAGAATGATTGACAGTTAGGAGGACCACTTATTTAGATGATCCACCCGGAAAAAGAAAAATCACTTCAGTTTAAAGGGACATAGTGTAACTCAGGGATGCTCAAGTCCAGTCCTCCAGAGCTACTATCCTACAACTTTTTGATGCAACCCATTTTTAACACACCTGAATCAGATGAATAGCTCGTTACCGGGCCTCTGCTGGACTAAATGAGGGGATTGAGCCTTTCGATTCAGGTGTGTTACAGAAGAGAAGAGCTTTCAATGACTGCATTTAAATGTGTGTTATTACTGATGTATTACCTCCACTAACACTCAGATACATTTCATAAGGCGAGACTGTTATGTTAGTTTATACGCAAGGCTGGTTACCTATAGGCGAAGCATCATTTAGCCCAGTCAGCCATCTTGAAACTACAGACGCCGTTGGGGATAATATGGTGCTAATGTGCAAAACGGTTTCACCATCCTCAAGAAAAAGCAGAACTTCAACGACGTAACCGGAAATGTTTGAAAAACAGGGATAAATTTTGGGCAGGCCTTCTCCAGATGGAAGGAGCTAATGAAGGAGAAATGGTTTAAAAAGGACACTGAAATTACCCTGTTTCTCCTTGACATGTAAATGAACTGTACTGCCTAAGTTAGCGTAAAGCTAACTTTTTCCATCTGGTTTAGTTAGACAGTGTTGCACGTCACCGAAGAGGTTCCTGCAAACATATACTAATCTTGTTGGTGCAGAACTGTAGGTTTACATGGGTTTAGTAGCCATGGTGAACGCTGGCTTTTTCTCACAGGGTTAGGGCTAGCTTGTAGAGACTTCCCTTTACCTTGGATGGCATGGTTACACCTGCGTTGTCATATAGTGTTTGTTTGAGTGAAATATTCCAATTTAACCGATGGATAAGAGTCATTCTTACACAATAGCCCTTTAAAGGCAAGGTAAACCCGTTTTAAAAATCTGTTTAGAGGAGATCAGCTGATCTGTTCCTCTTGTGACCTCTTCAACCCAAATACTGATGTTTTTCATTATTATTGCCATCATTATTTTGCAAAGAGTTAAATGCTTTATTACCCAGCAGAGTTTTGGAGCTGGTGGACATTTTTATGAAGCGTTCTGAAACTATGCCTTCCTGTAAAGCTCCCCCTCTGAAACAACGTCAGCCAGGGGCAAAAAAAAAGGAGCATCTGCATTCCAGTAAAATAAAAAAGGTGCTTCACGGAGCGGAGAATGCTATTCTTCTAATTTTGTTTCACAGCTGAACTGCAGCAAGTCGCCTCAGTCTGTGGGCCTTTCTGTCACTGATTTCCATATTTAGAACCCAGGAGGTGTCGCATCTCCAACTACCAGAGCCTTGCAGGACTAAGTCATTAGGCTGTCACTTGAGATTACATGCTGTCTCCATGATTCCTCAAATTATTGCCTCCGCCAGAAAGAAGCATCAGTCAGGAAAAGGGTTGCTGAATGCATGTTTATACAACAGCTTTAAAAAAATCTTCATGAGAGATGAAAAGTCTGGATATCCAGGGTTGATGGATTAAACTGAACTCAGACAGACTTCAGGAACAAGCGAGCGGCTAAAATAGTGCAAATAGTTTCTGCAGTTTAAATGTTTTCTGTGTATTAGAAGAGGAGAGGGGTAGAAAAAGAGGAAAACGCATTTTATTTTCCCTGCGAAGCATCCTTGAATACTAATAACGCCTGCAAAGCTCAAAGGGCTGCTGGTGAAAGGCGAGGAGCTGGTGGGATGGACGAGTGCAGCTGACACTGTGAGGGAGATGGAAGGAGAGGGGAAGATGACATTGCAGAGAAACGGGAGGGAGGGAGGGAGAATGATGATTCAGACAAGGAGGAAAAAAAATCTGCTGAAAACATGTTTGTACAGTCGAACAGAAATAAAGGCCTTAAACGCACCAGCAACACTACATCCAAACAAGTGAGATGTGGACAAACGTGCCCCGACATGGGAGTGGTCCCCGTTTGTCTTAAGGAAGATTACCAGCAGGAAGTTTTCAGACTTTTTGTGTTGTTTTCATTTGGGTGACACTCCCTCGTCTTACCTTACACACGCGAGCGATCCGCGACACGATGGTGTTGTCAAAGAAGTCAAACTCCTTCCCCGCCTCGCTGAAGAAGAAGTAAATCTTGTCGTCGTCGCCCACACGGTTTCCAGGCGGCTGACTCTCCTCGATGTAAGCCGACCCGACAAAGACCGGATCTGTCCTCAACAGAGATGATAGACAAACAGGTTCTGCATTTACCACTCAGACACTCACTGGGATTATCTGCTTTAAACTGGAGCAAAGTAGGAGCGCCATGCAACACGGTCCTGAGAAAGCAGAGGAAACAGGATGCTCTATGTAATTGCACTTAGATGCCTCATCAGGACCACTCTGCACAGATTACCAGGAGATCAAAAGACAAGAGCCATCCTAATTGTGCGCTGCGTGCAGAGAGCTCCAGCAGATGCCATTTTCATTCTGCTGCAGATAGGACCATGCTGCAGCAGTCAACCGAGGGTCAGCTATGCTCCCATTAGTGACTTTGTCTCACTAATGACGGCCGCTTTTCAGAGCTTATCTGCTTTGGTCGTTACCTAATGGAGGACATGGAGCAGGAATGAGCAAACAAACTCACCTTGAAGCCATTTTAAGGAGTTTTCCGTTTTCAGCGCCGTTCCCTGACCCAAACTCTTGTAAATGACAGGCTCGTTCCCTTGGAAGTTGCTGACAGTGCCGGTGTAAAGCTCCCCATCTGGAAAACAACAACAAAGTTACCAAAAACAATCTAAAAAAGGAGTAACAATAAATGAGCCAGTGAACAGAACTGAATCATTTATCCCCAATTGACTGAGAGGACATTAAGGCTATCAAGTTGATTTCTAAATTCCTTGTTTGCAATCCAACTTTTTTTGGATAATCTTCTTTAATTCATTTCCACAATCATTGTGACATTAGTTTTAACCAGAGTCCAGCTTTATTTTTGAACTCCAGTGTTTCCAAAACTCAAATTTAAATTTACCAATGATGTCACACTTTCTAAATTTTAACATAGTTTAGGATTCAGTGTGATGACTACTACAGAACCCTTCTTCATCTGTAGCTTTCCCAGAGCATGATGCTGCCGCCCCCGTACCACAATGTTGCCGGGTTGTTCTTTCAGAGATTCATGGTGTCACTATATACAGGTGCTGGTCATAAAATTAGAATATCATGAAAAAGTAGATTGATTTCAGTAATTCCATTTAAAAAGTGAAACTTGTATATTATATTCATACATTACATACAAACTCATATATTTCAGATGTTTATTTTGTTTAATTTTGATGATTACAAATGACAACAAATGAAAATCTCAAATTCATCATATCAGAAAATTAGAATATTACTGAAGACCAATAAAAACAAAGGATTTATAGAAATGTTGGCCAACTGAAAAGTATGAACATGAAAAGTATGAGCATGTACAGCACTCAGTATTTAGTTGGGCCTCCTTTGGCCTGTATTACTGCAGCAATGCGGCGTGGCATGGAGTCGATCAGTCTGTGGCACTGCTCAGGTGTTATGATAGCCCAGGTTGCTCTAATAGTGGCTTTTAGCTCTTCTGAATTGTTGGGTCTGGTGTATTGCATCTTCTTCTTCACAATACCCCATAGATTTTCTATGGGGTTAAGGTCAGGAGAGTTTGCTGGCCAATTAAGAACAGGGATACCATGGTCCTTCAACCAGGTACTGGTAGCTTTGGCACTGTGTGCAGGTGCCAAGTCCTGTTGGAAAATGAAATCTGCATCTCCAAAAAGTTGGTCAGCTGCAGGAAGCATGAAGTGCTCTAAAACTTCCTGGTATGTGGCTGCGTTGACCCTGGACCTCAGAAAACACAATGGACCAACACCAGCAGATGACATGGCACCCCAAACCATCACTGACTGCGGAAACTTTACACTGGACTTCAAGCAACGTGGATGAAGTGCCTCTCTTCTTTTCCTCCAGACTCTGGGACCTTGATTTCCAAAGGAAATGCAAAATTTACTTTCATCAGAGAACATGACTTTGGACCACTCACCAGCAGTCCAGTCCTGTTTCTCTTTAGCCCAGGCAAGACGCTTCTGACGCTGTCTGTGGTTCAAGAGTGGCTTGACACAAGGAATGCGACAGCAGAAACCCATGTCTTTCATACGTCTGTGTGTGGTGGTTCTTGAAGCACTCACTCCAGCTGCAGTCCACTCTTTGTGAATCTCCCCCACATTTTTGAATGGGTTTTGTTTCACAATCCTCTCCAGGGTGCGGTTATCTCTCTTGCTTGTACACTTTTTTCGACCACATCTTTTCCTTCCCTTCGCCTCTCTATTAATGTGCTTGGACACTGAGCTCTGTGAACAGCCAGCCTCTTTAGCGATGACCTTTTGTGTCTTGCCCTCCTTGTGCAAGGTGTCGATGGTCGTCTTTTGGACAACTGTCAAGTCAGCAGTCTTCCCCATGATTGTGTAGCCTATAGAACTAGACTGAAAGACCATTTAAAGGCTTTTGCAGGTGGTTTGAGTTAATTAGCTGATTAGAGTGTGGCACCAGGGGCCATCAATTTTGAACCTTTTCACAATATTCTAATTTTCTGATATGATGAATTTGAGATTTTCATTTGTTGTCATTTGTAATCATCAAAATTAAACAAAATAAACATCTGAAATATATGAGTTTGTATGTAATGTATGAATATAATATACAAGTTTCACTTTTTAAATGGAATTACTGAAATCAATCTACTTTTTCATGATATTCTAATTTTATGACCAGCACCTGTATATATATATATATATATATATATATATATATATATATATATATATATATATATATATATATATATTTACCTTTTTCGTAATTTCCAGCTGTGCTCTATCAGAGCATAAAGCTGAGAGGTTTGGATAACATCGATTTCAAAACCATCAGCAGACCTCAGAACTTTAGGAATAGCTTAAATAATTCAAGGTAGACGTGTACCCAACGCTAAATCTAATACACTATTAGTGAGGATGTGAATAATTACAACCAGCTTTTCAGATTTTTAGCACTGTTTTAAACAGATCAGTTTGTTTGGTTTTTGACCAAAATGTATAAGAAGTCAGAATTATTTCATTTATTTTAGCATTTGAAGTGCATCCACTGCAGCTGAAGCACATAAGTAAAACTTTATTTACGCATCTCCTTTTAAGATATGATGATGACAAACGAATCCAGGATAAACTACTACAGCAACCCTACAGCTAAAAAGGCATAAAAAACAGAGAAGTGAATAAACAGCTGGTTTAAATGATACGTTTCTATCTTTGAAGACATCGTTGGTCTTGTGAGCAGTAGATTGTCTGATCTCTTTCCAAAGCTGATTGCTTCAAGACAGAAGGACTCTGAAATCATCCTATAACCAGTGACGTTGCATCACCATCAGACTCACATGGGAAAACTGAGCAGGGCTTGTACCAGCACTTTAGGACACATTATAATCGCTTTATAATCCAAAGGCATGAGGATCTATTTCCTGTTTGGAATGTGAAATATTGGAGAGCGGCGAGGAGAAATCTCTGCTATAATCAAAACTGGTGGAATACCACCAGAATCAAAGGCTGCATCAATGTTCCTAACAAAACTGCTCTTTATCTCAAACCTGCTTTTTCCTGCTGCAAAGATAACCACGTCTGAGACAAAGTGGTCTGCCCTCCATCGTTTAACAGAGACTAAGCACTTTAAGAGACTGTAAGCTCTGCAGTAGAACAGGGAGTGAGGGAATAAACCCTCTCCCACGCCCACAGCATCAGGGTTAATTATTCACTAATCGCCTGTTAAAAACAAAAACCTCCTTCTCCTCACTTCCGGCTATTTATTAAAGACTCTGACGCAGACAAACAACATTAGGAGCCACATCATGACTCATTACGGAGTTAAAGACGGAGCGGTTTCCTGTCCGCTCCTCGGAGGAAGTGCTTCATGAGAAGTGAGAGTCTTTCTACACTGTAAAAAGCAATACCTTCAATTATACATCCTGTCTTATTTCGATGATTTACTTACACTTAACATTTTGAGTTCTAAAATTTTAACTTAATATCATTAGTTTGTGGCATTCCGACTCAAAATTGTAAGCTATTTCAGTGAAATGTTAATTTGGGCACATCAATGGAACCTAATATTTTGAAGTTTATTTTAACATTCTTTATTTAATGTTTTTATTACAATGAAACATAAAACACACACAGAACTTGGGGCACTGATACATAGATAAAAAAAAAAAAGAAAAGCTAAAAAAATACTAGATATTAAACTTGATTATGCTTCCTTTTTCTTGTCTGTCACCCATTTAGACGTTTATTGTAAGAATGTCCTCTTATGCGTAAAAGATTTTTCCATGGAGTGGATCTCCTCAACGACTTCCCACCAATGATCCAGCTTGGGAGAGTTTCTTTAGCCAGGACGGTGTAATGGCTTTTTTGCTTGCGATGGATAGAATTTTAAAAAGCTACACGTCTTCTTTTCGAAGTACTTCTTCAGATATCAGTCCCAGCAGAAAAATTCTGGGCTCCTTAGGGATGACGTACCCCAAAATGATCCCGGTATTCTGACAGATTCCATCCCAGTAAGGTGCCAACTTTGGGCAGTACCAAAATATATAAGTGTGATTGGCGTTAATATTTTCAGTTTTAAAGAAGAAACTGTATCTCCTAATCTGATAAGGGATTCAAAATGAAGATAAGATTTTTGTCACACCTGAGCAGATGGTACCCCCCCTTACAGCGACTTATTAACTGAAGTTGATCACCTAAAGCCCGGCGTACACTGTGATTTTCTGGGCGATTTTACAGTCGTGCGAGAATCTTTCAATCGGGCCGACTTTCAGCCTGATCGTGCGTCGTGAGTCGTGTGGTGTACGGGGGTAACGAGGGGCGATTACCTTCTCACGACCACCTCCCGATCAGGTATCGTGAGGTCGGGAGAAAATCAAACATGTTACCTACCATCGTGGGCCAATCGTTCAGTACAAACAAGTATTCTTCTTTTTCTTCTTCCTCTCAGATGGAAACACAGCAGCATGGCAGTGGTGTGAGTGACATGGAGTTCTTTCTGTAAATTGACAGACTGTAGTAGCCACGTTTGCTCAGCCATGTCTTTGTCCAAATACGTCATCTTTTCTTTTTAGGGCTTTCAGCAGAAAATTGCACAAATAGCTAAGGCAGTGCATTTCACTCTAGTGAGCTTCATATTCCTCCTTTATTTGTTTGGCTTCCGGATAGACGAATCAGAGCAGCTCCATCTCACTGTGGAGCTGAGTCCGACATGGTTTTTAGTCGTACGTGTGAGCAGGTAGTTTGCATGAGAACGTCGGGCCGCACATACATCGTGAGCTGTACGGCTAAACCCTGCGGTTTAGTGGTACAGTGTGAGCTGCACCAGCGTGCAATGATAAAAAAAAAAAAAAAAAAAATCGCATAGCGTACGCCCGGCTTTAGCTTACTAATGATGTGAAAAGCAAAGTGAGGGATGGTTACTTTTTGTCAGCGATATAAGGACCTTAGCAAATGGCTTTCAAGGCATTTGGCTATTTTTGAACAAAGTCCAAGGAAAAGCAAGTAAAACAAGGTAAGTTTAATTTATCAACAGCCCCACAGTGAAGCCTACTAAAAATGATGTGGAGAAGGGATAAGGACTCTTCAATCTGTCCTTCCACATACTGGAGATCCACTCAACCAGACCTAAGGGGTGGATTCACTAATCAATGACTCCGTCCACCATTGTTTACGATGCAGCAGGGAGACGCCAAAAACCAACACCATAAAATCAGGTTCAGGTGCCCCTTACAGATAGTCCCAGCTCAGAACCACACACCTCAACCTATCTGCTGTGGGACACTGACTACTAGAGGGACAAGCAGGCCCTAATCAGTGCCTTCTTACATCTTCTATGTGCCATAACACTCAAAGACATCTGGAGCAATAAAGTCTTGAATTTGTCATCTGCTGAGACTTACAGAAAATGTGAAGAATTCTGTCATTTAAAGCAGGTTTTGGTCAGTAGATTATGTTGTGCTGTGAGTTAATTCAATTCGATGAACTGATTTTTAACAATTGGTCAATAATTAAACAACTGGTGTAACTGAAATAATTGAGTTAAAAGGATATATCATTGCAAGTTTCATTGACAAGAAAATGTTAGTTTTAGCGAATGATAATGTAATATAGTTCGTCACTTCAACTCTTCAACTCTATGTATCGAATTCAAACAAGAATTTAACAACCTGGAAACTTTCAAAAATTACCTTCCTGAGTTGAATGGTAGCCTTTCTTAAAGTTGAGTGAACTCATGTTTTTAAGGCAGCAGTTGAACTTAAGTATTTAAGTTGAACTATCCTGACAATTATTACCGCGTACGTACCCACGATGATGGCGGTGGATTTGTACTCCGGATTAAAAGGGCAGCGGCTGCGCCCGTCTTCCGACACGATCTCGCCCGCTTTGTCTCTCACCAGTGTAAATGTGGACGTGTTCTGGGGGATAAATAGAAAAACCAGGTCAGGGAGAGATCATTTAATGTTTATGTTATGATGAAATCAGATAACTGAAGGTAGCTCAGAGGCCTCCAGCTCGTTTCATCTATTGAAAAAACAACAAAAAAAACATTTTTTTTGTCAAAGTGAAAGTCAAAACATCTTAAATGCAAAGTTTTGATGCAAAGTTTAATTTTTCTATGAAGTATATCATCTTCTTTGTTTCTGTAATAAATTTTTAGCATATATCTGGTTTATTTTCATGTAAAGAGAATTTTTAGAGAGAAAACAAAGTTTGAAAATGGCTGGATCTTTACCTAAATCAAACTGGTATTTGGGCGTACCTAAATGCGATCATTTTGTTAGTTTATATCAAATCCGATCAAGGATCCATCTCAATGATTCATCTTCAAAAGCCAATCAGATGTTAATTCTTCATCATCTGAAAAGCCACCCTAGATGTATTTCCCCTCATTCCTCTTACAAAAATCTGGTTGCAATAAACGCTCACAAGTAGTAACTAATCTGCTTAAAGCTACACTGACCAGCTGTTAATGCTAAACGTGAGACTTATGCAATAAAAGGGAGTCAAATGCTGTCAGTGAGAAAGTATTAGAGGAGTGGTGCAGGCTGATCCTCAGAGTACAACAACTTTCAATAAAAAAGAAAAAAAATAAATTAAAAAAAGTTTTACAGCTTTTACACAAAAACAAAACATTTGAATGCTCTCATTTAAAACTGATCATTTTAGCTCCTGCTGCTAAATTTGCACCTACTGAATTTAAAATTGCGGTTCTTCTAGCTACCCTGTTCTTTAAAGAGTGACACTAGGAGTCAGGTTCCTAACTATAGGTATAATTAAAATATAGTTAACTTCATAGGATGGATGGTTGGCTTTTTTTGGTATTTTGCAATCTCCAAGAAGCCTAATATGTTTTTCTTGAAGGGTACGTGAAGTGTAGCAATAATCCTTTAGTACATCAATGAGATTTTCAGCAGCAGGTAGGGGCTATGCTGGCAGTGTGCTTCCTGAACGGGGCCGCCTGTGGAGCTGGTTGAAAGTTGCCTTTTGTATCTCTGCTTCTTTTTCTGTCTCCTTGAACCCCAGTTAGCCTCAGCAGATGGTGACTCACACTGAACCTGGTTCTACTGGAGGTTTCTTCCTGTTAAAAGGGAGTTTTTCCTCTCCACTGTTGCTACAAGCTTGTTTGGTGTGAGGTATTGCTGAGGACTCGACAACAAATTGCAAGCAAAACACGTTGTTGCAATGTTACCCAGGAGGAAGATGTCTTGCAAGTCAATGACTGGATGCAATCAACTGATTTTCCTTGACAGAAACATTTGACCAATCTGATTGAACAATATTGTCTCTGTAAAGTGCTTTAAGATGACGTGTTGTGAATTGGCACTACATAAATAAAATGAATAGAATCTATTTGAGATACATTCTTGGTTCATTCAACCTAAATTACAGGAAGAGAGCAGGATTTTTACCAGAAAACAGGAAAATGTTCCATTTAAAAATGTTGAGTCTTTTACCAAGGTTAGGTTAAAGTCAACTATGGTCTTACATTATGGAGACACCTGTCAGAAGCTCTAACCTCACAAACACTAGAGGATAAACGTCACAAAGACTAGAGGATAAAATAAGCCCTGCCAAGAATAAAAAAAAGATTAATTAGTCTGCACAGCAGCAGACTCCGGAAATCTGCTTCCTTATCTTCATAGAAAAAAGATAATCTGGATCACGAGGATACGTCAAAAAATCTGAATTTGTACTGCAACCAGAGGGTTGCCGGTTCCAACCTCACCTCTGTCCATCTCAAGTATTTTGTCCTTCGGTAGGACACTTTCTTGCATCTGTACTGCCTACCGATTGTGATCAGAGGGTCTGGTGGCGCCTGTATGTCAGTCCCGGTTCTATCAGTCATCCCAGGGCAGCTGGGGCTACGATGTAGCTCATCACTTTGGAGTTGCCTCACTTGGAAAAATTGCTATATGAGTACAGGCCATTCGCCATATTGAGGCCAAAATTCTACCAAAAGATATGAAGGGTTACTGTAAAATGATGTCTCTCAGTAAAGCATGTAAACTAGAACAGAACTGAGATTTTAAAGATGTGTAATGATAATATCTTGTTCCGGGGATCAAGCAGACAGAACAAGGACAGGACGGTACAAGTGGCGCCCCTGCTTGGACAATCCTCATGCGTCTTCATTACTAAATGCTTCACTCTGAGCTTGTTTTAGTTCATGTCAGTCACCCTGAGTGTTTAGTGTCTCTTCTGGGCCTCAGTGTCCTGTTACACTGCTCCTAAACCCTCCTGTGTCTGTTTGCACAATAGCTTTTAAAAAAACAAACCATTTATCAGCGGTAATATTGGGCCTCTCTGAGACTAGATTCTTAGGAATGACTATGTTGTCTCTCACAAACAAAAATGCCCTCTTTTGGCAACGTGAGTGCTGCTGTAAGCCCAGCAGAGACCTCATCCATGCTCTGAAGCCCGGTTCAGGTCCTAGCGACCTGCCAAGTCATCTCAAACCCGAGACACGCCGTGTTTTCCTTCCACTTTGACGTCAAAGCTGAGAGCTTAATTCCCCCTTGTTTAAACACAGAGAGCAGGCTCCAAACTCAGCTGAGGCTCTAATGGTAAAATCAATGTCAGGTCTTCTGATAGTTACCTTTACTCTTGTTGTACTTGACAGATCTACTGCTTGTTTCCTTTCTAGGAGCTTCTCTGCTCCTCCCCTGTTGCCTTGTCTGGCTAAAAAGCCTCAGCGTGATTTATTAATGCTTGGATCCAACAAAGTCACAGAGGACAAAAAGGGACTGAGTTTGATAAAAAAAAAAAACAACTTAAAGCATGCTAAAGTAAAAGGTATTTTTCTTTTTTTATTTATACATCTTCTTTATTCTTGCATTTGAACAGAATGCAGAACGAGACGTTTGACTCACTATGTAGGCACAGACGGGGCTGAAGGCGTAGGTACCGCACACATAGAGATGAGTGCTGTTGAGCCGCAGGAGAATTTTGATGTAATTGAAGCAATCGGTCTGAAAGAGAACAAACGTCAGGTTCAGAAGTGTCCAGAAACACATTTCCAAGTCCCTTTCAGTCTAATTTCTAATGCATTTTATGATACTTGTACAGTTATTCAACAGAGGATAGATGCATGGGTGGATTCATAGATAAGATGACATATAGAGAGAGACAAATGGAACTTTTAGTGACAGAAAGAGTGGAAAAAAAACATCTTGCAATTCAATCATTCCAGGTTTTCTTTTCTCCACCTAAAAGTACCTACACCTGGAAAACTCTTAAACCTCCAACCTCCTCAAACCGAGCAGCTTTGATGTTGACAGAGACACTTCCCCAATACTTTGGGGAAAACCTGCCAGCCTTACAGAGCAGTTGCCTGCAGAGCTTTGTGTAACACAGATAGATCTGTGCACTGCAGCAGTCGGATTACTGAGGCTTCACACTCAGGGACACAACAGCTGGCATGACAACAAGCTAACAGACAGACTGAAGAAGAAGAAACGGAAGGAGCCGTTCCCACAGGGAGTCTGCAGACTTGATGAACACGTTTGGATCTACTGGAAAGGTTTGTCAGCTCGTCACTTATGTAATTGCCTCGCATGTGAAACAAATGGGAGATCGCAAGGGAAGACCCAACTCACATTCTGGGAAGGAAACAAGGAAAGATTTTTTACAGGGAATGCTTTTCTTCTGTGCTTACCTCCAGGTTTTTTCCTTTAAAGCTGCACTCTTCTCTTTTTCCAGCAGGAGTGCCCCATGTTAGCTAAGGAGGAGAACCAAAAAAAGGTTGAATAAAGAAAAAACAAAGATTAATGAACCAATTTAACTGTTTGATGAACCTGAATGGAAGGTTCTGACCAAAGGTGCATAGATCAGGGAATAAAATAGAGATACTAGAACCTTATTGGCCAATAGGATCTTAAAGAACACCACAGAGGTTTCCTAGCCAGGGTGCATTTCTAGTTTTGACTGGTGACGTGCTTGGCCCGCCATCATGCTTACGTTCTTCTGCAGCTTGGTCTTGTCCGAGAGGCTGAGGGCAAACAACGCTTCCCTGGCTCCAACGTACAGCATGTCATCCTCCTGGCTGAGCAGCAGAGAGGTGTAATTGAAGACGCCACCGACTGAAAATCTCTTGGCCGATCTCTCCCTTGCATCTGGACACAGAGGAAATCAAACGCACACACATAAACAGAGATAGACAGCAGATGATTATCAGAGAAAAGGACTGAACAAAAAGGAGCAGAAGGGAACAGAACATGTCCTGATGATTAGAGTACAACCAGAACTCAGACTTTCGTTTTTTTATTCCTAAAGGAGATAAAGGACTAAAGATTCCCTTCTTTTTCCCTCCTTGCATGACTTTTAATCTTACGAGCTCATTATTGCATAAAAAGGTCCATCTGTTCCATCCACAAATGACCATCAAACGACCTCCTCAAATCTGAAGGAGATGACACGTAGAGCTCGTTCCGCCATTTTAATGAAGTCTCTTTTATTCGTCTAGAAGGCCATCTGAAAAATTGTTTATTTTATTCAGGGGTGCATGAGGCACAACAGAGCCACCACTTTACGTCACGTTTTACATCCATGCGAGAACCCGTTTCCTTCTGTTCCCAATTAAGGCTTCTATATTCTGAAGTTCAGTTAGAAGACAGCAGTGCAAGTATACGGTAGTATTTGACACAAACTTTGAGCAAAGTAAGGGCTGACTGTAGTAAATAGAAAGGCACTAAGAGTTTACTTTATGAAAAAAAACATCATGAAGAGAGACACAAATAGGCCATTTTGGCAAATCTACTCATAATTCATGTCAATCTTGGTAAACTGATTATTTATATGTATGCATGGTTCTGTATAAGAGTCACATAAACTTGAATAAATATTAGTTTTACAAGGTTTACACAAAAATGTCACAAGTATATAATGATCTCAAAGCTTTTTTTCTGTTTAAAAAAAACAAAGATGCAAAGAACTTTTGGCTCTGATACAGATTAAAGATCTAAATTTAATATTACCGATTAGGGATGGAAAGGCTAATGGTCATACAGGTCTAATGCCTGGTGAGAAGGCCCGAGGCTACGATGTGATATGTAATCAGAAATGTATCTATCCTTAATCATTTAAAATCTCTATCTGTATTATATTATATATCAATTTATCAAATGATAATCAAATTAAAGGATTTAAAAATAAACGGTATCCCTGAAAAGCTGTGGATTTCTGCCAAATTTCCTCCTTGCGTAATCACTCCGTAGAGCTGCTTGGCCTCGGTAGCCGCATCGTACGGTGGCTAATGTGGGTTTATCCACTGATTTTATTGATTTAAGGTCCTTGCAGCGCCCAGACTACAGCTGCAGCGTAATCAGCGTGAGACTGGTGGAAAAATCTGTACCATTTTAAATGACAGAAAATTCTCACATTTCAACCTATAGAGAGTAACACTTGGATTGCATGTGGAACATCTTAGATAAAATAACGCAGAATTAAACAAGTTTACACAAAAATTACAAAATATGCACATTACCATAAAGAGAGAACAATTAAAGCCCAATTTATACAGATAATCATTACCTCTAAAGGTTTAGTTCATTTTTAACAGCAAGAATTTTCTTTTTTCCCACCCTCCGGCCAAACCCACATTAACCCTTTGTAGGGCAATTTACCGTTTTTGATGACTTGCATACCCCTTACAAATGGAGTCCCAGCCGTCCCTCAGTGAGATCAAGAAGCACTAGATCTACATCCAGCCATTCAGCATTGCTGTACATCTTATTTTGGCATTTGACCAATTAGATGAGGCCTTGATTGATATGTCACAGACTGTTAATTAAGTTTGGGGGAAAAAAGTTAAAAAGTCAAGAAAAAAAAAGGTAAAAAGCTAATTGAAAAGTTAAAATGTAAAGTTCAAAAGTTAAAGAGTCTAATTAATAATTATATTTAGGTTAATAAACTATAAAATTTGTAATTGCCATTATCTCTCAGGGTTCTTCCTTCTGTTGAAGTTTATTTTTAGTTTCTTTGTATATGTAGTTGTTTTCTAGCAGTGTTTTGTTCTTGAGTTACTCTCTGTTGCCCCCTTGTGTTTGTTTCCTTTCCCCTTGGCTCCCTTCTAGGTGCTTCCATCCACACCTGTTCCTTGTCAGCTCGTTAGTCCAGTCTTTGTTCTGTCTCCTACGTATCCTCTACCTGTGCAGTTCCTCAGTGCTGGTTCCTCGTCTTTTCCTCGCTCCCCATGTGAGTTTTCCCCTGAAGTTTTCTGCTTTTTGGTTCCTTATATGTTTTACTTTGGTTTTTGGATTTTGCCTCGGTTAATTCATTAAATCTACAAAATTCAACTCTGCCTCCTCACCTCTGCATTTGGGTCCTCAAAACCTAAACCCAACCGTGACAGTATCAGCATTAGTGCCTCTAAGGTTATGTTGTACCAAAAAAAAAAAAAATCTGTTTCACTCTGAGTGTTTTTAATGAATTTCTTATAGAGGCACTTTTGTTATTTTTCTTAATATATTCGGGCAAGTTGGCGTTTCTTTTTATTACATTGACATTAATTGCTGCCATCAAAATAGCCATATTTTTTATGTTACAAAGGTAATAAGTAAGGAAATATTGGTTTTCAAAGCATTTCACTGAATGCCATATAAAGGATTAAGTTCTTGCCACTTCCACAAGTGGGGAATGTTATATTAAAAAAAGTTAAATTTCTCTATAGGACCTTGGTAAAAAAAAATAGTTTTATTAGGAAATGGCTCAACTCTGCAGAAGTGGCAAAGATGAGCAATTTACCAAAAGGGTTTTTCATCTGATGTTTAATTACATTTTCAAACAGCCTTAATTGATAGCCCAACAAACTGTCACAGGAGTGATCAAATATTTTGTTCCAGCTGCACTGGATGATTTGAATCATTCAGGCATAAAATGAGCGAGATGTTATATATCCCCAACTATTGTTTGCATACTTCTAAACAGTTTGCAATTTAGGGTCATCTTTGTAAATGTTTGTTCTCTTCCTCTCATTCCAAACATTTAAACATACTCCCCGTCCTTACTCTGCCAAAATAGAAAAAAGATTAAAGGAATAGTACACCCAAAACATGATTAGCCTTCATTTTCTACTCACCCCCATGCTGAACAAAACTCTGGAGTACTTTTTTGATATCTCAAATGCATCTGGAGATCTGGGAGGCTTCTTGCTGTCTGCTGACATTCAAATAATGGAAGTCCACAAAAACGTGTCAATATTCCTCCATACTGCTCGTCCAATGTAATCCAAGTGTCCTGAGTGGGTAGCATCCAGAATTTACTCGAAACGAAGTCATTTAGAACGTTTTAGAGCCTAAACAGTAGTGTATAGGATTTCCTAATAGCGCCCCCATGCGCGCTCACGATTCTACGGAAGCCGGCAGACCAAACCGAGAGGAAGTGCGCATTCAGCGTCTGCTCTGCCGATAATGCAAGCGTAGAAGAAGAAATGTGCTGTTTACCTGTGCAAAGAAAGAAACAACGAAAGAAAAATGTCTGAGGACTTCAGTGTTGAGGAAGAGCATGAGTTCTTTGCCGAGCTGAATGCGCTGGTTTGGTCTGCCGGCTTCCGTAGCGTCGTGAGCGCGCATGGGGCGCTATTAGGAAATCCTATACACTACTGTTTATGCTCTAAAAACATTCTAAATGACTTCGTTTCGAGTAAATTATGGACGCTACCCACTCAGGACACTTGGAATACATTGGACGAGCAGTATGGAGGAATATTGTCACGTTTTTATGGACTTTTATGGACCTTTCTGTCTCGGGCGCCATAGACCTCCATTATTTGAATGTCAGCAGACAGCAAGAAGCCTCCCAGATCTCCAGATGCATTTGAGATATCAAAAAAGTACTCCAGAGTTTTGTTCAGCATGGGGGTGAGTAGAAAATGAAGGCTAATCATGTTTTGGGTGTACTATTCCTTTAAAATAAAAAGAGGTGGCCACAAACTCCATGTGTTTATCCATATAAGATTACAAGCTCGAAGCGGGAGCTGTAAAAACTAATATTTGCCACAATTAAACCATTTACAACCTCCCCGCCCCAAATTACAGTGAGCAACTAGGAAGCCTGTTCACTTTTTCACCCTGACGAAGGAAAACGACAGACAGGACCAAGCAACACGTTTATCTTCAACACTCCAGGTGGTGCGTTGGACCATAATGCAAATACAGGCAGAAAACCGCAATAAATGTTTACAGCCCGCGATATAAACTTCTCAACACACTCACAAATGGTTCATCTTGCACTCAAGGCAGTTTGGCAGATGATCATCTTCCCCTTGTGGGAGTGAAAGCCAGCTGCACGAGCCGCATCTCGTTCAGATTCAAACGCTGGGCCCTTTCCACATCGACAAACCCTCATTCTCTTTTAAAACACAGCTTTAAACATCTGGAGTCAATCAGGACTGGGGCTTGCAAATAAAAAGAAAAAAATGAAGGGATGGGGGAAATAACTTCCCTTTGTCACTCACAGGTCCTTCAGGACACTAGTCCTTCTGCACAAAGAACGAAAACACAGTTTAAAGGGAATATAGGCCTATTGAAATATATCCTTAAATGCTTATAAAGATAGTCATCCTCTGGCTTGGCAGATCCTGCAATCGGCAGACAAAGGACTGCCATCTCTCCTCCCTACAGAGGGACATATCATGGCCTTATTGTCAAGGCTCCAATGGGTTTGGGACATTCACTGGAACCAAAAAGCAGCCTCTCCTCAGCATATTAAAACTCTCTGACATAAATCACAGTGACAGTCTCTCAGACAGACAATGGAATAACGAGCAGTGGAGAGCAAAGTCATGAAACTTTTACTCAGAGGGAAGACAAAGAGTATTTATCAGGGGGTGGGTGGGAGGGTCTGGGGGAGCTGTGGTAACCTGGATGATTGCATTGAGATCTTGACCTATGAAAAACATAGTCTGCAGACATGAAAAGAGAAGAAGAGGATTCAAGGGACAGAAAACCCCAATGGCCAGACAGCAACCAATATGCATCCCATTTGAGATATTGTCTCTATGGAGCTTTTTTTTTTTCCATGCGGTGATTCAGTGGAGAACTTCAGTGTTTTGACTTGTTTGCAGGAGAACGTTGAGCATCCATGGATATAAACCGTTTCACTGTTGGGCTTGGCT